AAAAATATTTTTTCCACCATTTTTTTGGGTTATATGATTTTTTTCCCAAAAAATATTTTAACTATCTTGATGGGTTCATCTATTATATTAGAAGGCCCAAATCAATTTTTTATTCAAGTGATGCTCCTTTAGTTCCTTTTTAAAGGAGACTCCTCTTGGAATGTTTTAGTAATCTTCCAATATGGGATACTAACTTTTTAAATGACACTCTTCTTCCAATATTTTAGTGAGATTTCAATATGAGATATTAGTCAATTGTCAATTCTAAGTGTCACTAGTTTATTTTATTATTTTCATTAAAAATCATAGCCTCAACAATATTATTTTTGGACATATTAATGATTAGTTTTTGATGTTATAAAACAAATTACTATAGTTATTTTTATCTTATTTTAATTAATAAAAAAAATAAATTCCTTCGAATATTTCAATTAACAATATTATACTATTATCTAATATTATTTATTATTTGAAAATTATGTGTAAAGCATAATGAAAGTTTCAAAATGGAAAAAATTATGTTTACTATATTATGATATAATATATAAAATATATTATATTATAATAATAAATCGGATCGACCTATATCCATATTTACTTCATTTAGTTAGCAGATTATCGGATTCAGATCTTAATTGGATTATTAGACTGAGATCATAAATCCATCTCCCATTAATTTTATCGGATTCAGATCAAAATTCAATCCATTGACGGCCATAGGTGAGTACTATACATTTACGAATTATATTGTATGTCATTTCAAAATCTTAGCACATAATCATTAACTAGTTGAAAATGTCGATATGTCAGTTTGAAATCCTAACCCAGTTGACGCTATCGACGGAGGAGGATGGTTGAGATTTTGTGTGTAAATTAGTTGTTCCGCATACTCATGATGACCAGATGTTCGATTCCATGTTGGACCAAGATTAGGTATGTGAAGTGAATGTAATTTATTGATTACTGTTTTGTATGAGTTAGCCCATTTTAATTGAGTTGACAATTTTAATATTGTTATTTGTGTATAAGTGAGGTCCGGTTGATCGACGATCACCTTTGCCGAAGGGCTCACTTTCGCCAATGAGATATCCTCCTCCCCCAACCAGATACCTCCCACGTGGATCTTCTAGCCAAAGTCATTATTTCGATGATTTATATGTCTGCCTGACTGAATTTATGGCGGATGAGGTGGGTGCACTACGAGAGGATATAGGGGCTTGTGATGAGAGTTGAGAAATGTGGTAGCAGATTCATGCCATGATGTTGGAGTGTTACGAGGCCACTAAGTAGACCCTCAGGATGAGATCACAGTCCTCCAGGGTGATATAGCAGGTAGCCGATAAGGTGACAAATGGGGTGACGAAAAGGGGATCACCCACAGTTGTGGACAGATCTCCAATGCTTATAAGTGATTTCATGACATCGCTACTTCGGGAACTTGGCTTGCTGACGATGTAAATAAAATAGTCATTGTTATTTATTAAGTATACATAATTTTTTGTTTAATATATGAAATAATTCCCTCTTTTTTTTATTGATGTTTCCTGATGTAACACATCGACTTAGTTATGGACTTGTTACGCTATTGGGCTCAAAGATATTCGAGATTATTTGACATTCTTGGCCGAGTCATATTGAGCATCGAGTTCTACGTCCCGTTACCATTGAGTATCGGTCGCTCCAACTTATGGTTAATGAGTATACGGTGCCCAAATATATACTTGAGTGAGTTATAGGAATGTGGTTGAATGTCGGGGAAAGTTATAAGAAGATTGTACGCATATGTACATTTCATGAATCGCAAATCATCACTACTTTACCATGGAGTTTGTGTTTGTTGGTTCCACTATATATGCATGTACGACTCGGATCATTCTTGTTTGACACGATGTTAGCTCGATCTTAACCTGGAGCTAGTGGTTGTGGTTGCTTTTGATGGTTAGATGAGTGGGGATGATTGTGCAAGACAGACTAGTCATCGTGTAAGACACGACAACGGTGAGACGGTCGAGATCATAAGTATTTATAATTTTTTTAAATTTAAAAACTTAATTCTCAACTATACGATACCAAACTAACACTGCGACTGCATGCTCACATAAAAAACTCTCCAACTAAAATCGACTACAAATGAATGTGTTATCAGTCAAATCCACCATTTATATCATATTATGTGTACATTATACAGAGAAGTGCAACTCATCCAGTTGTTCTACATTCAACTTTCTTGCAACCTCTGCAGCCTTGAAGAGTTTATCCTCTTAATTCAGGGCTATGACACCCGTGCAACTCTATGATTTCGCATGTCGATCGTGAAACCACTGCTGCAACTTGTTATGAATGTTCTTAATTATTGTGAAGATTGGTAACTCTCGATTCTTTCTGAATAATGTAGTGAGAGACTCCGCGTTGATTGACGCCATTATGTTGTATCAATATCGTGAAAAATGTAAATGCGTCCAATGTTCAATCTCCATTTTTGTTATATACTCTTATGCCTGGAATGATTTACTTCCTATTTCAACTATGAACTTATTACACTCTTCAACACTGTAAGATTCATCTGCTCTCCCGAACAATGAAATTAAGGCTGGGCAAACTCCTGTACCGAATCGGACCTGATGCGAACCCGATTAGCACGGTCGCTATCGAACCCACAGGATATTGACACCGAATCCCAATAACGATTAAATACGATCAAGATTTAGGATTTAACTTCTAAACGATGAAGAGTCTTGTCATAATTGAAATAATAACTTCTATTTATATGAAAAACCTCGAAAAACTAATTAGGGACGAAAATTACTCTAAAAGATTACAAAGATGTCAAATAAATAGAATTCTACCATGAAAAAAATACTTCCCAGAGTTTGGAAAATTATGTTTAGAAGTTGTACTATGCAGTCACATAGTATAAATCAACCCAATCGCATAGAACAAATAGTCAGTATCAATTTTATCTCGAAAATAGCCTATGCAATCGCATGGATTTTAAGCTCTGTGATCGCATAGTTTAATTTTTAATACCTACTCCTTGTTGTGCAGAATTTCGTGACGATTCCGGATTATAGTCATGGGATAAAATTTGACACCCGAGCTAAAAGTTATGTCCATTTTAATCTGCACTGCTCGTTTTTCTATATATCATCTAAAACTTTGAATCCAATGCACCGAACATGATTTCACCTTTATGACTAACATGTAACTCGACCTCAAGCTTGCAAACATCATCCTTTGTAGCTCGGTAACCTCAACGCTTGCTTACATGATTTCATTGGTTGTGATCAAACCTGACTTTACACTTAATCTCTTCTTGCCTATCATAAAACTTGTTACATTGCGTGTTAATTCTCACATTTTGAATTCCTAAGCTTGATCATGAGATTTGCTATCTTTATCAACCCTTTTTAGCCTCCAATTACGCTCCAACCTTGGTCTCGACTGCTCGCCAACATTCAATAAATCTTTGGTAGTTTGATGTCTATCTCGGATCATATCAGGACCCGAATCGAACCAAGTGGTTCTTTTTAAGTTAAATTGATCGGGTATCTGAATCGAGAATCGAATAAGAACCGAATCTCCCTTTTTTTTAAATTTATTTATTTTAAATAAGTCAAATTATTTTTTTCTAAATATATTTGTTCACAGGTTAATTTAGCTCAAATCCAAAAATATGATTTTACTATTTCTAATTTTCAGTATAAGCCCAATTTAATCAAATTGACCTAAATTTTATCAAAATATATTATTCTACTGTAGCGTCATTTATACCGTTATAGAGAAATCGAATTGAAACTATACAACTCATCTCTTAATGATTATAAGCTCCCTATTGTATTTTTCTATTATTTTAACAATAAATATATGAAAAACTCAATAAAAAAAAATGCAAAAGACATATAAGATTGGACTACATTATTTTGTAATAGCTATGATTGAATATGTCATTAGTTGAATTAACATAGTTTTGTAAATATTAAAAAAATTAATTATAGTACAGAACCTAGGAATCGAACCTGAACGGTTCTAAAATTAAATTTGGACTAGACGATTCCACTTACTGATTACTTGAAAATTTCGGGCCGAATTGAATCATGCCCACCCCTAAATGAAATGATATCTTTGCTTCGATGCTTTTGTCAGCTATTAAGTCTTTCTGAAAATGCTTAATTGCCATGAATATCATCTAAAAGAATATATATGTAGATGAATTTTTTCTTGTTTATGCTTAAAAAATTATAGATTTGTTAAAAAATTTATCTACATATTAATCTATGTCGAAATAAGATTTATTGATTAAAATGTATTATAATTTAGCGAAAACGAAATTAAACATATGTAAATATACTTAACGATTCGAAGTAATTGATCTAAAAAAAATTTCTCGTTTAGCATTCGATAAATTTCTGAGATCTCGAGATTCGAGCAGATGAAAGTTTTGATCCGTGTTAAAATAAACAGATAAGAAAAATTAACTGATTTTGAAATTTTAAGTGGAAAGTGTTTGATTTTTACTTGTTAATTAAAATGGGTAGTATTGTCTTTTTAATAAAATAATATTTTATAATTGTTATATATAGGCCCTGTTTGAGCTACATTTTCAAAAAAATACATTCTTCTACAGTGATTTGACGTCATTTCAATCACACATTCTTTAATAAAATAGTATTACACGCAAATTTAAAACTTTTCATTATTTTCTAACCATATATTTTTCATCAATACACTATTCAAAAATACATTTTTATTGAAATAATGCCCTTATTTGAGTCCTATTTTTGTGAAGAAAATGAATTTATGAATAGTATATTGATGGGAAGTGTATGATTAAAAAATAAGGAAATTTTTTTGATTTACGTATAATATTATTTTATTGAAAAGTGTATGATTGAAATAATGTCAAATCACTGTTGAAAAATATATTTTAGTTGAAAATTGAGTATGTTGCTCAAGGGCATGATGATATTTTTGCCTTTAAACATTCACACAGCCATGATGAAAATATGTAATTGTTGAAAATTCAAACCGGAAATTAGAGGGTCTTTGGAAGTACCCCGAAAATGTGCACGTATTACATATACAAAGAGAAGGAAGAAAAAAGTGAGAGGAAAACGAAGCCACAGTTCCAAATCGATAGTTCCGATTTTTGCAGAGATTTGTTTGGAACCTCCGTTCTCTTAGGAGAGCGAATAAGGCGTATCGTATGTATGTAATATTTGAATTACTGCGTCGTTGATTTGCGTTAAAGTGATATTAGAGAATTTAATAGACAGCAGGCGATGGTATCTTGGAAGGATATAACGAGAGTGGTGAACGGGATGTCTCTGGTGTCCCGGGAGGCCTTCCGCCGCTCTGAAAGCGGGGAATTGCAGTCCCTAATCAAGGCCGGCGTCCTCTCAGCCACCGACCTTGTGGGACTCACGAAGGGCAAGCTCCGCCACTTCGACACATCCAATGTAATCGACACCATTTCCGATGCCCTCAATAGAAATAATAAAGCTAGTGTTGTTCACTTCAGGGATGAGTCACTTCCATCTCAGCCATCTTCAGATTCAAATGCTATTACCGCTGCCACTGCTCAACCCGTTGGTGCTCGGAATGCCTCAAAGGCAGATGCAGAGGCGGGTTTGGACGCTGCTAATGACAATGCTCAAAGCGCTTCCCAATCAAATTCGAGCGCCGTTATTGTCAATGGGGCCATCACTCCCCAACTGTCTCCGAGGAAGCCAAGGAAGCCCAGGGAAAGGAGAGTTCCCTCCACCCCTTTCTCCAGAGCGCTTGGGTGAGTCTAGCTAATATTTGCCAAATCACTGGTTTATGTACGATTTGAATCCCTTTTCTTCCTTTTTGTTAGAGCAGAAAGTAAATTGTCTTGATAAAGAGTCAATACAGCTCAAGCACATTTGATATGTATGATTTGTGTTGTTTTTATTTTACTGAACAATTCGTTGCTCTATTCTCCAATTATTTCTGTGATCCTCTGTATTAACTCAAATAAGCTGAGAATGTCTGCCTTCACTTGCTTGGTACTACACATTTGTCTAATGTACTCTCATGGTACATTGAAGCTAAAAAACCTAGAATTGTTCGGACAAATTGCTTGCTCCAGAAATCTCCTAAAGGATGGTGCTGCAAAGGATCTTTTGGCCACAAGATTGCTTCGCATTGATGGCTAATTTGTTGGATCCTTGTCAGTGCTTGTTTGGTTGGTAATAATTTTATAATCACTTCTGGTCAAATATACTTTTTATTGATAATAATTTTATAATCACTTTTGGTCAAATATACTTTTTATCCACACATTTTGGAGGACCCACAACAGCCATCCACTTGTTATAGCACATTCCATAATACCAGCAACTTATAATCACTTAAATTATAATTTAATCACCAACCAAACATGCATTTAGTTTGCCCTAATGTATTTGTTGAAATTATCAAATAATTCAAATTGACACCTGTATGTATGACTCAAAAGACGGGACACTTCATGTGGATTGTCAGACACACACTTCACGTGGCACGTCAGACACATGTCCAGATGTTTCAGTTGCTGTACATAATGCTGCATCCCTGTCGGCACCTCTGTGCTTCCTTGGTCAGAAGTGTCTATGTTATTAGTTTGTTCTTACTAAATTTTTCCCAGTTCTCTTTGATACATTTGTTTTCATTTTGCAGTTTATTGTACCATCATCCCTTAGTTATTCAGATTTGTCTTCTTGGGGTATTGTTCCCTTTTGGGACTATATATCCGAATTGAGTATTTTATGTGCATTATATTTCATCTTGTTTTGATGTGTGCACTGAAGAAAGCTACTGGTTGTAAAATTACATTTATTGAATTGACATGACCGTGATCTTATTTTCTATCTACAATTTGAAGGTTTGCTGGCCTTGGAGCTGGTCTAGCGTTGGGCACACTTCAGGAATCTGCCAAGAGGATTGTCTTTGGTACACCTGTCTCGCAAAACAACCAACACGCTGTTTCCCCATTCTTATCCGAGAAAAATGCGGAACGTTTAGCTCTTGCATTGTGTAGAATGCGTGGAGCAGCACTAAAATTGGGGCAGATGTTGAGTATCCAAGATGAATCTCTTGTACCGGCGCCGGTATATAAATATGAATGTATATGCATAAATTTATGATGAATCACGAATGCTTCATGTTTAGATATATTATCTGTCTCAACTACGCCTTATTATTAATTTTTTGTCAGGTAGTCTTGAGAATTTTAAGTTAATCTTTTTCTCATAGTCTTTAAAACAACAAAGAATAAACTTTCTATACTTGGTGCAGCAAGTAAGTAAAGTAAAGTGGAGTTGATGAAGAATAAAGTTGTTCTTTTAGTTGTTATCTCTAGATGTTAGTCTTTGAAATGTTGAAAGTATCCTTTCTCCTTTAGTTTTTGTTTGGTTGGAAAGTTCCTTAGCCTTGAATATGATTAGGAAAGCTAATGGAAACATGGAAAAAGAGAAGAAAACCAAACAAAAAAGAAACATGCGTTTGATTATTGGAAAGTTTGAAGGATAATTGGCAAACAAAGTATTAAGTTCAGCTCATAATTTATGGAAAACTTGTTCTCATAGAGAGTTTTATTGTGGACCATCCATTTTCTCTTGTATCGTCCATTGACAACCAAAAGAAATTCTGATATTGTTCCTTTTGAATTAAATGATTTGTCTTCAGAAATAAATTACTGTAGGGGCGAAGTCTCTGGGAAGAGGAAAGAGGGATGGTTTGGGCGGGGGATAGAAGTGTGATGAAAAAAATAAGTGGTCCTTGGTATTGGATGGTGAAAGGAGAGGTTAAATACTTCTAATTTGGACACTGGTGATTGATGAAGGATCTGATAATGAGCAAGGAGCAATTTGAGTTGGCTTGAGCTTCATTTCTATCATTAATGGTACTTAGACTTTCCAATCTACGAACATAGGGATGGAATTGATTATGCATTTTAAAGAGGGAGAAGTAATGTCATGTTCGATGGATATACAAAATAAAGGACTGGGATTGAAGTTCTGCTGGGAACTAAAGAGGCTTGAATTTCTGGTGAAATACAGTGGAAGTTGAAGGGCACGGGAAATACTGAAGAGGTAAATATGTGAAAGGGAAGGAAACAGTTTATTGCGAGTGGATATTTTGATTTTCCAGTGATCATCTGATTTTGAATTTTTTTTTCAAGAGCGCTTTTGTTTTGTTGACTAATCTCATATTTAATTTTTTACATGGCTGCTCCCCTTTTGGCATATAATCTTTGCTTAGAAACAAAAATTAGAAAATCAATTGAAAGTTTTCATTTCCTTTTGAGCAAATCATGCATCGATCATGGTTTTTGACTATTGAAAAGGAAAAGTTAATTAAAGGCATCTTGGAAGAATATGATGCTTTTTGGTCTATGTAAATGATCTTTTACGATGGAAGAATTGACTAAGAACATGTAGGATGTGGTATGATGGTGTATCCGTTCGTGGATGACATTATCTTTGTGGATGAGACTATAAGGAGAATCATTTCAAAATTTGAGTTGTGAGGAAAGCATTTTGAAACAATATAATTATGATATTTCATGAAATTATTCCAATTGTACGAGTTTAATTTTTTTGGAGAAGATTATATAGCCTATGCTTGGTGTAAATTAAAATCCCATTTTTAGTTGATTTTAATAAAAGTTGATAAAACGTGTGGTTGAAAATTTGTGATTTTATGGATTGGATCTGCTCAAATCCAATCCGATTCGTTAAGATAAATTATCCGATCTGATAATCCAATAGATATTTGATTGTTAAATTCATATCGGATTTGCTATGTTATTGAATATCCGATTCGAAATTGAAAAAATTAGAATTATAAAAATTTTATATTACTCAACCTTTAAGCCCTAGAATTAAAAGGCTCAGATAGCTTTTTATCTAATTCTTGGCCCACCTATTTATAAATTGTAAATTTTATAATATTCTAGTGAGTATTCGATGTGGAAAGCAAGAAGTTGGGAATAATGAAAGCAATTCTAAATTTTGGCTCCTTTGGTTGTTTAATTTATAAAATAAATAAATTATTATTTTATCTAATTTTAATTAATAAAAAAATAAAATCTCTTCAAATATTTTAGTTATCAATATTATACTATTATCAAATATTATTTATTATTTGAAAATTATATGTAAAGTATAATACAAGTTTCAAAATGGAAAAAAATTATGTGTAATAAATTATGTGATTATATATAAAATATATTCTATTATTATAACAAATCGGATTGGGTTGTTTCATTTAGTTAACGGATTATCGGATTTAGATCCTGATGGGATATCGGACTGAGATCCTAAATCCATCTCCTATTAATTTCATCGAATTTGGATTGAATTCTGTTCAAAATCCAAACCATTGACAGCTCTAGGCTCAAGTTGTCTTAGAAAATGAAAAAATAAGTTCTAAAAATAAAATAAGAATGCGTCACATTCTTCCAATTGAGAACAAGTAAAAATAAAGAGAAGTCCTTATACTCTTTGTGGAAGCCCATAAAGAAGCCGGAACTTTGGTTTTTAATTTGTGGATGGTGCTTGATAGGGTGAAATGGAAAAAGAGGACCCTTCTAGCTGAAGCTTCTTGAGTTAAGTTTATGACTTCTGCCATAAAAACTTTAACATTTATAATAATATTATATAAATACAACTAATGACGCATTCAATGATTTTGGAATGCCAGAAACTAGTTGATTACCTTGTTCAAATGATCGCTACGGTCAAAGCTTCGATAGGTGGAGATCACAGCTTCAATCGAAAGTCACAACGTCGGCCGACGATTGTATATGTTTTGGAATGTCAGCAAGACTGTGAGAGTGAGTATGAGAGTAGAGACAGCGTTATGCACTTTAGTGTACGTGTTTAGGGTTATTTAGTGGGTTGGATCTTGTTGGGCTAAGTAATGAAACAATAAAATGGGTAGTTGGGCAAAAAATTAAAAAATTAGAAATGAAACAAATTTTTTGGCCAAAAATTTGGATTTAGAAATTGTTAATTTGTTTAGAAAAAATTAAAATTAAAATAATTTGATTTATTCAATATAAAAAAAATAATTAAAAAGATTCGATTTTTTGGTTCTTAGTTTAGAATCGAGAACCGAACCGTACCCATCGGCTCTCAATTTAGATATTCGTTCGAGTATTTAATTTGACAAGAACCGTCGGGTTCGGTTCGGATTAGGTTCGGCCGGTTCGGTTCGGGAGATTTGCCCAGTCCTTGTAGTGGGTGAAGGGTGAAAGTGATTGGTAGATGGTGTCTTATCCTGATCTTCGAGGATTTCCTTTTTTATTCGGCATTAGTCTGCAATATTTGCTCAAGGGTAGGATAGTGTTGGAAGTGGATCTTACATAGGAGTCGGTAGAGTTAGGCAAAAGGTTTGAATTCTAAAAGCTCACTATTGTGGTTATCTTACTTGGGGAAAAGGTTCTAGGTTCTGGATTATGGTGCTTGGAAGAGGGGAAGATTAAAGAATGCGGTGTTAAGTACATGAGGAAACACTTTGTACGTGCATGAGTTGACATAATAATGGCATGATAGAGTGGTTGAGGGATGAGGGTCTTTCATTTGACACTAAATTGCTACGAATTATGATACTGTCAATAAAGCTTTGGAGGGTCTGTTTGCAGATGCTCGTAGGTAATGACCTTATTTTCAGAGAAGATTGTGTAACGTGGTGGGGGATTATAGCAGCAAAGTTTTTCAATGAAGGTTCATTTGAAATGACAGTGAACATGACAGTCTTAAACATAAAACCTGAACGCTTGCATTGGCTTGGATCAAGGTCTTTGAATTGGTATCCACGAAAGATCTTTTAGGTGCCCTTGTGCAACATATTAAAAGCGGCAGTCACAGTATTGCTACTTGAGTTCTAACTATGAAATTAAGATGAAGGAATAACCTGAATATATATCCATTTATATAGTATCTGTCATTTCTAAGAATTGATTTTTGTTATATTAAGTCTTTTTCCCCGAAACTATGGTACTATGTTTATTTTAGGTTTCATTTTAACCAAGGAAGCTCCTATGGTCTGTAGATCTTGGCAGCTTTGGACATTGTCCGTCAGGGTGCAGATGTGATGCCAAAAAATCAGCTCAATCAAGTTTTGGATGCTGAATTGGGCCCCAACTGGTCATCTAAGTTGATAAGCTTTGACTACGAACCAATTGCCGCGGCAAGTATAGGACAGGTGATGCAGTTAAGCTCTACCACTCTTTTTTTTAGTGATTTCAAGCTTGTATGTTGTATATAATGTTTCATTGAGTCAAAAAGATATTCTAATACTAAACAGACCATTCTTTGCTGTATGTCATTCTATTGGAAATATGTAGTGATAAAAAAAATGACCCTTTATTTACTAATCTTAACAAACTATATTGATGTCATTCATGTTGTTTTCTTTTTTAGACCAACTTGTGTGTACTTCGAAAGTTCAGCATTTTGCATGTGAATGCCCATGGATTCCATGCTCTTAATAAATTTAATGCAGAATCATGCTCGAACACACCTATAGAGCTCTAGTCCCAAGTGCATTATAAGACTCTTGCAATGCTGATTGTGGGATAATGCTGATTGTGGGACAAAATAATGTGCTTCTTTCTAGCTGGGAGAAGATAGAAGGAGAAATATTGGAAATGTTACTTTTCAGGTCCACCCTCCTTAAATTTTGATAAAGCATATTGTGCTTGATGTGTGTACTCATCCAAATAACATTGGGTGAATTTTTAGGAAACCTTACACTGATTTTATAATTTCATCGTTTTCTTTCGACTCGATTTATTTATTTCGTTCAAATATCAATAACATCTGCTTAAACATTAATGGACCTACTGTAATTTTGTTAAGTCTAAATAATATTTTTATCCCTTGCGGACTAACCTTATAATAGATTTTTTGGCGAACTTTTAGTCAAGTAAACTACAACACTCGGACAAAAGATAAAATACTTCTGAACAAAACGTGACCAAGAACTTTTCTTTTATTTCTTGATGATTGAATATCAATATTTACATCCTTTTATAATATATAATGGAGCCAAAAAAAGGAAAAAAATAATATTAGAGAATAATTTCAGCCTATAAAACTATCAATCATACTATTAATGAAAAGATTTTGATATCTTTCCATTATACACGATTTCCTACACTCCCCTCAAGTTGGATCGTATATATAAATCATATTCAACATGCTTATGAAATCGTTAAAATCTCATTGAGATAACCCTTTAGTGAGGATAACTGCCCTTTGTTCCCTTATAGGGACATACGCCGTACAAATGACTTTCATGAATTGTTTATCAATTTTCACGTGCTTTGTTCTATCATGCTGAACTGGGTTGAGTGAAATGCTGATGGCTGCTTTATTATCACAATAGAGTTTTATTAGTAGTTTCATTCCAACCTTCAATTCCTCCAAGAGTTTTTTTAACCATAGTCCTTCATATATCCCTTGTGTAGCTGCTCTGAATTCTGCTTCGGCATTGCTTCTTGCCACTACATTCTGTTTTTTACCTCTCCAGTTTACCAAATTTCCCTATACAAAGGCACGGTAACCTGACGTTGATCGGAGTCTTCTATTGATTCGGCCCAATCAGCATCTGTAAATATTTCTACTTCCCTTTTTTCACACTTCTTGAAGAATAGTCCCTTTCCAGTGGAGCCTTTTAGATATCTGAGAATTTTGTATACTGCTTCTAGGTGAGCTTTCTTCGGTGAGTGCATGTGTTGGCTTCCAACACTGACCGCAAAAGCGATGTCTGGTCTAGTGTGTGATAGGTAGATCAATTTACCAACCAGTCGTTGGTATTCATCCTTTTCAACTGGTCTCCCTGTTTCATCTGTCATCTTTCCACATTCTATAGGTATGTTGCTCGGCCTGCAACCAAGCATGCCAGTTTCAGTCAGCAGGTCAAGGATCTATCTTCGTTGTGATACACTGATGCCTCTTTTTGATCCTCCTACTTCCATACCCAAGAAGTACCACATTTGTCCTAGGTCTTTTATTTCAAATTTGGTAGCCAGGCTTTTCTTTAATCTATCCATCTCAGCTATATTGTTGCCAGTGAGGATTATATCATCCACATACACAATTATAATTGTTATTTTCCCTTCTTCAGATTGTCGGAAGAACATGGTATGATCTGACTGCCCTTGCTAATAACCTTGATTCCTCAACACTTTTGCAAATCTGTCAAACCAGGCTCTTGTTGATTGTTTAAGCCCATATAATGATTTCTTGAGTTTGCATACCCAATCTTTTCCAACCTCATTGCCGAATCCTGGAGGTATTGTCATGAAAACTTCCTCTCACTGCTCAATTTAAGAAAGCATTCTTAATATCCAGCTGCTGGAGACGCCAATCCAAATTGGTTGCTAGAGATAAGAGAACATGATTAGTGTTCAGTTTTGCCACTGGTGCAAATGTCTCCATGGAGTCAATACCATATGTCTGTGTGTATCCTTTACCTACCAGTTGAGCTTTATAGTGTTCTATCGTCCCATCAGTTTAATACTTCACATTGAAGACCCATTTATAGCCAACTGGTTTCTTACCCTTTGGTAACTTCACCATATCCCAAGTTCCATTTTTTTCAAAGGCACACATTTCTTCCATTACTGCTTCTCTCCATTCAGGGACTTCCAAGACCTCCTGAATATTCCTTGGGATTTCTGTATTGTCAAGATTAACAGTAAAAGTACGAAATTGTGTAGATACAGTTTTATAAAACTCAAATTGAGAGATAGGGTGGAGAGTACATGAGCAAGTTTGTTTTCTGAGAGCAATAGGTAAATTGTCATTTGGAGATCCAGATTTATCAGGTAGGTTTTCACTAGGCCCCATCACCAGTTCCTACTCTTTTGGTACTTCAGGTGTGAGGTTTTCTTTGTACTTTGAATTTGGCCTCCTTGAGTAAACTAGCATCTCTTTGTCATTCTGTTTGTCTATATCTGCCTCTATATTCAAGTTCCCTTCTTTAGATGGCATATTTGACTTGACCTGTTCAGTATGGGTTGGTTCTCATCTTATCTTCATTCTTTATTACTAGTAGCTCAAGAAGTGAGTTTTGTTGTATAACGATGTAAAACTCACAAGTATATTTAGTTTTTACACCAGTTGAAATCTATTTATGTAATATAATTGACTTCTCTGATAAGTAGCATAAATTTTTGAATTTTGATTATAATATAAAATCATAGTTGTAGAATAAGTCATTTCACTCTAGTTCTCATTTCTTCATGGCACATTCTTGCTTCTACTGATTTATATTCTTGTAATTCTTGGCCAACAATTATGTATTCAAAATTTTGATTGGCAAACACTTACAATATTAAGAATTTCAAGAAACCAATCAGCAGATTGTGAAAATTTAGCTGGATAATCCATATCACTGTGTACTTTTTTCTTAAGTGGTCATAGAAACTGCTGAAGACGAAGATAATTCTTATTTATGAGTGTGGTTTAGTTTCAACTCAACTGAGGGGGAAAATGATAGAGCAGAACTTCAATTTTGCGAAAGTCTTGTTGCCTGGAAAATTGAAAGGCTGAAAAATGGGGATCCTTCTTTAAATTGTTGATTGAGAAGTGGCTCTAGAATGATTGTTATTGACGTGACAATTAAACGAGTAACAGAGTTGAATGTCTCGAGAAGGGGTCAAAACCAACAAGGACCTTCTTATTTCATATACAAATGTGCAAATGTTGCTCTTATGGGGTTTCTCAGACATTTACCTTTTCTTTGATGTTCATATTGCACAAATATTTTGCTGAATGCTTTTGTGGATTCTACTCTGGTCAATTGCCATGCCCTTCTATCTCACACTTCTAGAATAATTTTAGGTACACCGTGCTGTTACAAAGGATGGTTTGGAGGTTGCAATGAAAATCCAGTATCCTGGAGTTGCTGATAGTATTGAGAGTGACATTGAGAATGTGAAATTGCTGCTTACCTATACAAATTTGATACCAGAAAAACTTTATATTGACAATGCAATGAAGGTAAACTGCTGATAAGCTGAAGTTTGACTATTCATCATTTTACTTATAATTTGTAGAATGGTGTTTATTCTTATGACTTTTGACACACTTAATGATCCTTTGATCAGTCCAGTAGCGAACACAGGCCTTCACATTTTGCTTCCAGCATGGTTCTTGTTTGTTTAGTTTAATCATTGGAGCTTGTCAGTACTGTGCTTTGTAGCCTGGACAAAATGTTTCTTTCTAGGATTACTAGTCATGCTTTTTTTGTTGTTTCTGAGTCAAGTTTATTGTTTGACGTCAAGCTGAGCTTGTCTATTGGCAGAAGGCCCAGCTTGTAATGTGACACATTCTCTGAATATTCTCTCACAGGTTGCAAAAGAAGAACTTTCTCGCGAATGTGATTATGAATTGGAGGCCAAAAATCAGAAAAGATTTCACAGTCTGTTGGCCAACACAACAGGATTTTACATTCCCATAGTGGTGGATACTTTGTCGAGCAGAAGAGTGTTAACCACAGAACTAGTTCCAGGTAATTGAATTATATCTGTACTACCTTTTTTCTATGCAGAGGATGATGTATCTTCCAGCAGTTAGAGAAGTTTAACCTGCTTCCATGGGCTTTATTGACACTGCCGATATAGATCCATTACACTATTAACTTTAAAACATCTGTTGATTTGATTATGAGTTCCCTACCAAATTAGTTATAATCTGTAATTAAAAATTCTAAATATCCTTGCAGGTGTTCCAATTGATAAGGTGGCATTGCTAGACCAAGCAACTCGCAACTATGTTGGAGCAAAATTGCTTGAGCTTACTTTGAGGGAGTTATTCATCTTTTGTTTCATGCAGGCATGCTCTCCATTTCATTTCTTGATTGTTTTATTATTCCTTATTGTAGATTGTCACAGTTCCAATTTTGATTATTCTTTTTTCCCCTTATGGAATTAATTAACTAAAACTGTCAACTACATCTGTCCGATAATAGTTGCTGAAGTCCCAAATTCCTTAACATCTATTGACACCATATTGTCCAACAACTCTGATTGTACTGCGTCCTACATATGAAAGGTTTTACTATAAATATATGAAAATCCAAACACTCAATTTTTTTTGGACAAGCTTTTTCAAAAATGTTCTCAAATGCTTTACTGGTTTGACAATAGAGATTGCAAAATGGAAATAATTAAAAGGTAAAAGGTGTGGCTGGCAATTGAAAACGATAGATGGATAAATTGTCTTGAATTCTGGTACATAAAATGATGAGAAACCTTGAATAGTGTTCTGTTCATCCTTGCCCTTCCGTAGTCAAACAGTGACTGTTGTCCCATTTGAAGTCAGTGATGAGGGGTGAACACATGAGCGATTGTTTAAAGTATCAGGATGAGCAAGAGGGATGGAGGGTTGGCAAACTTTCGGGGCTATTTAGGTGCTAAGAACTAAGCCTCTGAATGTTTCTTGGAATTCTGGGCCATTAAATGCTTTAGATATCACATGCAGAATCAAGTAGCTACTGTTCCTAGGACTTTGGTCTTGCTTCACGATACCATACTCTACAACAAATTGCTTGGAAGTTTGAAATCTGCTGGGTCGCAATTATCAGCAGCAAATGATTTAGATCAATCTTATGATTTCCTCTCTAATACTCAATCATAAATTGCTGGAAAGTTTGATATCTGCTGGGCTGCAATTATCTACAGCAAATGATTTAGATCAATCAATCCTATGATTTCCTCTCTAATGGATGATTCTCTAGTTTTAGAGATTTTCATATTATCTCCAGATCAAAGAATAGTGGCACAACCGACGGCAACTGTTCCCAAGTGTTTTATTACAGTATTTTTGCTGTTAATGATTTTTAAGCTTCAAGTTAGTGAAAGGATCTGTTAAGACTTGATTTTTAAATTTCAAGTTAGGGAAGGACTTAGCGTTTGTGTACAATGTGATCTCTCTCTCTCTCTTGAAGTTCTCATTTTACCTTCATTTTAAGCAGACTGATCCTAACTGGAGCAACTTCTTATATGATGATGCGGAAAAGTCAATCAATCTTATAGACTTCGGCGCAGTAAGGGACTTCCCAAAGCTTTTCGTGGATGATTATTTAAGAATGGTAAAACGTCCTCTCTGCTCTTGAATTTCTGTGTGATCCAGGATTCTCCAAGTTGGTAGAAACCAAATTGATTGATTTCTAATTTTGCTTCTGTAGCAGTTATCTACATTACTTTCTTGTTCCAGTCGGGCTGAAATTCCCTTTTTTTTCCTGGAATAGATCAACTTGATTTTCTTTCTGGATTTGATGTAATTGCACCCTGCAATACTGCATTCCCCAAAATTTGATAGCTTCACCCTTCTGTGAACTTCAGAATTTCTTTGCACCTTGTACTATTAGAAGAATATACTGAGAGAGAGAGCTCTTTATATTATTGAATCAGGTTGTTGCTTGTGCAAATGGTGACAGAGAAGCAGTAATTGAGATGTCAAGAAGACTTGGTTTTCTTACAGGGATGGAATCTGAAGTTATGTTAGAGGCTCATGTTCAGGCTGGTTTTGTTGTGGGTTTACCATTTGCAAAGCATGGAGGGTATGATTTCCGGTCAACCAACATTACTCAAAGCATTTCAAACCTCGGGGCTACAATGTTGAGACACAGGCTGACGCCTCCTCCTGAGGAGGCATACAGTCTTCACAGGAAGCTTTCTGGCACTTTCCTTGCTTGCATCAAGCTTGGGGCTGTTGTACCATGTAGGGAACTTCTGCTTCAAGTTTATGAGAACTATCGTTTTGGTGAAGACTCTGATGAAATCTTGTCAAGAAATTCATTTTCGTGATCGAGATCTCTGTGATTTATATTTAATATAAAATCCATGACACAATTTTGAGATGCTATAGGCATCATGCTCATCAATTTTCCTTTACGCATGATTAGATCGAGGATATGCCATACACTTGGCTGAGACAGAATAAACATTTCTATGGAAACTAAAGAGTGGATTTTATTATTGAAATAAATTTCGGATGCTGCAAGATGTGCAAATAAGTGTAAGTTTGGTGCCTCATATTGTTCGTGCTCTGGTTGGATTGTAGAAAAAAATAAAAAATCATGATAATTTAGTTTTCGTTTGGCACCCATTAATTTGCATTTCATTACATTCTATTTTTCTCTATATTTATTTTTTTTATGGAAAAATATTTCATTCATAAAGACAATAAGCCTTAAGAAAGGGTACAATAGTGTTTATCAATGAAAATTACATTTTCAATGAATAAAGGAACACTATGCCACTAGAGGGAAATGTCTTCGAGGGACCGTGCGTGTCGCGCCAAGGAATGTGCTGCTTGGTTACTCAGTCTGTTGCAGTGCTAAAGGTTACTTTGAGGAAATCTCTGCATTAATTCCTTTATTACAATAACTTGAGAACGGATCGGCGCTGAGGACGAGCTTGGCTTATTGATTTCGTTGACAAGGAACAAACAATCACTTTCCACCACTAAGTGAGATATTCCAAGGTTATGACACAGTTGTAGACCTCTCACAAGTGCATCAGCTTCAATGTGTTCTGGTTCTAGGATTGTGTTTGCAGGACCACTAACAGCTAAAATTGTTTCTCCCACGTGGTCTCGTAAAATGATTCCGATCCCAGACTTATTTGAGTCAAAGAATGGTGCACCATCAATATTGAGTTTCAATGCTTTCTTAGGTGGTGCGGACCACCTATATTTGTGGAGAAGCGATCTAGGTGTACTATAGAGGGGGACCTAATTCAACATTGGGTTTTTTTGGCTAAGGCGGTAGCAATTACTTGCTGTGGTGGAAGATTTAGCTGGTCATGGACCATTTTTTTTCGATGGAACCAAAAACCCCAAGTGATGAGTATAAATTCCGAGAGAGCATCCTTTGAGTCTTTTGTCATTATATCCATAGCTACTTGCATGAAATCTCCCAGGTGATCCTTATTTTGTAGTGCTGGGAACCGTCTGGTTAGTAGATGGCAAGTAGAAGGGCAATTGAGTAGAACATGGCATAGGTCTTCTACCTGGTAGTTGCAAAAACAACATTGAGTGGCAATAGGGATTCCTCTTCGAATCAGATTTTGTTTCGAGGGCAAGCTTTCTTTACAAGCTCTTCAAGCAAAATTTTTTACTTTTTAGGGTATCTTTAGATGCCATATAGTATCCCAAAATTTCTTTTTCATAGTTGCGTTTGAAGAGTTGCCACGATCCGGAGTTAGACAATTCTTGAAGAATCTATATGCACTGCTATCAGAATAAAGTCCGATTTTTTCATGTTCCCATAACCAGAAATCTTTTTCTCCCAAAGGGCTTGGATGTAATTTTAGTATTGCCTCCACAATTTTTGGATTGAATAGAGCCCTAAGCTTAGTCAGGTTCCACCACTTCAAGTTTGGATCAATCAATGAAGCCACTGGACTTTCAAGTTGTTGATTGTGATGTTGTAAATCATTTCCAAAGTCCCTGCTTAGATTTTTCACTCCCGGGATCCAGTTATCATTTAGAATGTGTATAGTGTGATCATCACCAACAACCCATCTTCCCTCTTATATTAGTAGATTTTTAGCCTCCCAAATTCCACGCCAAGCATAGAGGGGTTACTACCAATAGATGCTTTAAGAATGTTACCTCCAGGGAAGTAACGGGCTGAGAATATTTTGTGAACTAAGCTGTCTGTATGTTGTAATAGCCTCCAAGCCTGTTTTCCAAGCATAGCTATGTTGAAGATTCCAAGCTCCTTGAAGCCCATACCCCCCATGGACTTCGATGTACACATGGTATTCCAGGATTGCCAATGAATTTTTCGTTCCTCCTTTCTTTGTCCCCACCAAAATCTACTCATACATCCTTTCAATTTCAGTGCATAATATGGAGGGAAGTTTGAAGCAACTCATAGCATAGGAGGGGATTGCTAAAGCCACTGATTTGAGGAGGATTTCTCTTCCCCCTTGAGAGAACATACCACTCTTCCAACTTTGTAATTTCAACCAAACCTTGTGTTTCATTTTAGAGAAAGCTCGATTTTTGGATCTACCGATCATAGGTGGTAATCCCAGATACTTTTCATATTGCTATATTTCAGAAGCATTCCAAAGAGCCATAATTTCTTGCTTCTTGTCTGGCTTTACATTTGCACTAAAGACCATAGAGGTTTTATCTCAATTCAACTGTTGACCCAATGCATCTTCATAGCTACTAAGGAGAGCTTGTAGTCGAGTAGTAGTTTCCACATTTGCTTCATAGAAAATCAGGCCGTCGTCTGCAAAGAGAAGATGATTCAAGCTTGGAGCTCTTCTACTCACTTGAATACCATTTACTAATTTATTTCTTTCCGTTGTATTCAATAAATTAATCAATCCTTCGATACATAAGAGGAATAGATAGGGCAATATTGGATCCCCTTGTCTCAACCCCCTTGAGGGGATAATGCGACTCATGGGAGCGCCGTTGATGAGTATCGAGAAAGAAGGAGTAGTAACACATGTCATTACCAGTTTGATAATTTTTTCATGGGAGCCCAATTTATACATAACCGTCTCAAGAAAAGACTATTCAACTCTGTCATATGCTTTACTCATGTCAAGCTTCAGAGACATGTAACATTTCTTGCTCTTCTTCTTTCTTCGTAGGAAATGGAGTACTTCATAGGCCACAAGCACATTGTCTGTAATGAGACGCCCTTTAATGAAGGCTGACCGTGTTTCTGAAATCATCACAGGTAGTACATTTTTTATCCCATTAGCCACAATTTTTTAAACCAATTTGTACAGGTTATTACAAAGACTAATTGGTCTGAAATCCTTTACTTTCTGAGGATTTTTTTATCTTTGGGACAAGTGTAATAAAAGTGTGGTTTACATTTTGGGGAAACTCATTGGTATTTAAAGCACGTAATACAACATTTGCGATAGAGGAACCAATATAAGGCCAAAACTTTTGATAAAAAATAGGAGGCATACCATCAGGACCTGGGGCTTTAGTAGGATGCATCTCCTTCAAGGCTTGGAAGACTTCATTTGCAATAAAAGGTTGAATCAGTTCCTCGTTCATTCCACGAGTTACTTTGCAATTTATGTTCTCCAAAATGGCTGCTTGATTCCTCGAGCCTATGGAGGTGAACAGATCAGAAAAATAGTTTATTATCATGTGGTACGCTTCTCCCTCTTGCCAATTGCCCTAGTCATCCAAGAGTTTATTAATTGTATTTTTCCTTCTTCTTTGGAAAGCTTTTGCATGGAAAAATCGAGTGTTCTGGTCACCCTCTTCAAGCCAAGTAGCTCTAGATCTTTGTTTCCACATAAGTTCTTCTGTATCCATCCAAGTTTGTACTTCCTCAATGGCCTGCCGAAGATCATTGGAGTTTATAGTTGTAGGATCCTGCTTTTGAATTTGCTTAAGCTTTGTTTTGGCGTTGCTGAGTTTCACTTGCACTTTCCCGAATTTAGATATATTCCAAGACTGGAGCTAATTGCTGCAAAGTCTAATATTTCGTATAATATTATTTAGGTTGTGAGGGTAAGAGTCGGACCATTTATTCAGTATAATATTAGTGCATGCCTTTTCACTAATCCACATTGACTCGAATCGAAATGGTTTAGTCTTTTGAGAGTTTGGTGAGTACCATCAAGCTGGATCCCGAGAGGCAGGTGATCTGAATATGCAGTGGAGCCATGGGTAACCATAGCTTTCGGGAACAACTGACACCAGGAGGCATTGGCAGTGAAACGGTCGAGCCTCTCGAAAATCTGTGTAGAGTCTTGTCTTCCATTGTACATGTATAACGGGGTCCTTTAAAGCCAAGATCTTTTAGTTCACAATCAAAGAGCATTTGCTGGAAACTATCTAGTTGTTGTCAAGGTCTGTCCCGACCTCCCCATTTTTCCTCATTAGATAAAATTTCACTGAAGTCGCCAAAGACAAGCCAAGATTCTATAGGGTCTTTCTTCATATTCCGCAATAGATTCCAGGTTTCCATACATTTACTGGTATCGGAGTGGCCATAGATACCTCTTAAAAACTAGCTATGAAGGGGTGAGTCTATTTGTGCATCAATGTGGCTTTTTGAGTAATTGAGGATAGTTAATTGAACATCATGTTTCCTTTTTTTCAATCACACAATCTTCTATAAAATAATATTACACGTAAATCGAAAATTTTTCTTTCTTTTTCAACCACTCATTTTTCAAAAAAAAAAAATACTATTCCACTCATTTTCATTTCCAAAAAATAGGGGCCAAATAGGGGCTTATTCAGAATAAGAATTTTCTTGTCTTCCCAAGTTCTGTTTCAACTGTGGTAAAAGGAATGAAGAGTAATATGTTTGGCCAAGCTTAAACAGACTTGTAAGAAAGTTTATAAAATAAATGAAAAATAAGTTTACTTTATTAGCTTGTATGTTAGGCCAGTGAACATGTGAAGATTCCAAGGTTTTCATTTAAGAGGCTTAGTCAAATCAAATATTTATTTAAAAAGCATATGAACTGATGTGTACTGTTGTAAGCACTCCAAATTAAAACCTATACTTCTTAAAATTAATGTAGTACTGAAAATAAGGGTCGATCCCACGAAGAGTAGTTAATTTATTTCTATGCCAAATCAACAATGTTCTTTTGGGGGGTGGGGGCGGGGGATGTTTTGATGGTATTAAAATCAACTTCAATAAAAGCAATTAATAAAAATGCACTCAACGATTTAAACTAATCAATAAAACTAATCTTGGCGGTTTGAGTCAATATCCACCTTCGGAATTTTTACAACTGATCATGGATACAAGTTTGAATTTTCAGATATTCATTGTTAGAAAAATAATTACCATTCAAATTAATTTACTATTCCTCCTTAAGTGTAATTAGTTAGGGCAACGACCTTCTAACTAATCCTAATTATCAAATAACCATAGACAAGCGCTAAGATTTAATTCAATAATAGCTTTATGTATTAGAGAAATCGAAGAATTAGATAACACAAGCCACGCGTTTGCATTTAACCTATTCAAACATTCTTCCTAAGATTTAACAATTTTCAAACCAGCAAATTATTAATCATAGTTGCTTCATAAGTTAAATTAACCAAACAATTACGAATTTGAAGTTTAGATTCCGGGGCT